GCGGCGCCCCGCCGTGACTCGGGGGGAAGCGGGCTGAGGGCGTCCATTGACGCGGCGCGGTTAGAAAGGCGGGAAGGGAAGAGACGTCCTTCGGTGAACGACGCGGCACGCCTCTGAAAGGCTGGTGTCCGGGATGGACGACCCACAACTGAAATCCCTGCCCTCAATTTCCCCTCGCCCCGCCGCCGCCAAACCAGAGGTAAAGCGCAGCCCTGAAGTCGCCTCGGAAGGACCCTGCGAGGAGCAGCAGGGGTGATGTCATCGCAGCGCGACGACAGGAAGTGAGCTGCCGGCTGCTGCGCGCGAGGTCCCGGGCTGCGGTGACAGCACCGCGATCTCCTCTCTCGTCTTCCCGCCGCGATGGACGAAGCCTGCGAGTCGCCCACGGAAAAGGGTGGCGACACAGGGGCGTCCGACGAGACGGCCGCTGCTCCCGGGGGCCCCGGGGCTACTGACGCGGACGGAATCCCGGAGGAAACTGACGGGGACGGAGACGGGGACCTGAAGGAAGCCGCGGCTGAGGAAGGCGAGGTAGGGAGGGAGGTGTTGACGAGCCCGGGGCGCGCTCCGAGAATGTGTTGCCGGCTGCTCCCCCGGCTTCCTGGCGGATCCCCCCAACTTAAGCTCATTCGACTCCCCCTAGATCTGCAACCGCGGAGGCCGGTGCGAGGTAGAGAGGAGACAGAACTATAATGCTGGTCCTGTTCCAGAGACCCAAGCACTGCGTTAATATGTTTAATCCCTGCCCTTGACTATTAAAGCTACTTCTAAGAGAATTTTAAATAGCCTCTTGGTTTTCCTGGTGAGGAAATTGGGATCCGATATCACACAGACGGTGCAAGAGCTAGCACCCCTCAAGGTTCCTAGAACCCCTTTCACTGCAATACGGTTTCTCCCAGATGTTGCTTAAGCGTAACTTCGTAATTATAGGCTGCCGAGTTGAAGACTGTGGGAGTTACTGGTTTAATCACTTTCTCACACTCTTGGGACATTTAACTGCTACCAGTGACCTGGATGCTACCGTCCAAGGGTCTCCCTATAGCATAAACACACCAAACACACCTATTGTGCCACGCCAAAAGCTCAGCAGTGTTGTCTAGCCATCAGTCAGGGGACCAGAATCAGTGTTCTCTGGGCTCCACTTCTAGAGATAGAATCTTGGGCTCTTCGAGCTGTAAGTAAGGAACTTAAAGAGATCATGGAAGGATATTAGATTAGATGGAACCAGCCTTTCAGAACATAAAGTTGCATCAAAATATATAGAGTAGGAACTCTTAGAAAAAAAACAATGTTCTGAAACTATTTTAAGAAGGAACCTTTGAAACATCTCAAAGACAGAAAGGATTTGAAGAATAATTAGCTTAGGCCAATAGAGAGTTCACTACATAGAGAAATGTGCACCCAACAGAAGATATAACTTTTTTTTTATGCGTCCAAAACACTTTTAAAAATTGACCATATACCTAATCACACAGAAAAGCAAAAATTCTTAAAAGTAGAAATCACAACAGGCCACATCCTATTAGTACAGTGCAATAAACTTGAAATTAACAATAAAAAGCTCCCCCTCCTCCCCCCAAAAATAACACCTGGACACCTTAACCTGTTTTCTAAATAGCCCCTAGATTAAAGAAATTAACAGAGACACTACATCAAATCCTATGGGGTTTGATCAAAACCTTACTTAAAGAAAAAAATTATAGCCTTACATATTTTTATTAACAAGAAGGAGATACTGAAAATAAGCACCCAACTCAAGAAAACAGAAAAAGAACAGAATAAACCAGAATAATGTAGGAACAGGGAGTTGATAAGAATAAAAGCAGTTATTAATGAGTGAATGCTTTAAAAACATAAGTAATAAAGACTTAGTTATTTGAAATGTAAATGCACAACATTATGAAATAAGGAAGGGCTATAGGCACTGATAGGGAGATCTTTAAAGTTTTAAGGAACATTTAACGTTCAAGTTTAGGCCAAATCATCAAATCCAAGAAAACTGGCTCATTTTTTAAGGAAAATATAAATCACCAAAATTGAAGCACAAAGAGGTTAGAAAACTTGTATTCATCAGTAACTAGAGAAGAAATTGAAAAAGTTGCCAAAGATAACACTACGCTCACTTTCACCTACCTCTCATATTCCTGAGTTTAAATGTGAGTTCCTCTTTTGGGAAAACAAAGGATAAATCCCATTAGTGAGGTTTGTTGTATCCTTAGATTGTAAATTAAGCTGGAGGGGATGAAGCTGGGATTTTGATTTTTGTTGTTATTAAACAGACATTGAACATTTAGCAAGAATAAAATGATGTTAAATACTTTACTGGGGAAAGAAAAATAAGAGACAGACCTATCTTCAAAAAGTTTTCAGTCTAGTAAATATTTGCATGATGCAGTAGAATTAAAAGATAGGAAGAAAAGAGCACTACATGTGGGAGAAGCTCACTGAAATGTTCCAAATTCAAAAAAGCACTGTTATGATGAGAAGATGACTCCTGTTTAATATTCTTTCCACGTGGAATCAGCATGAGTAAAGAGATCGATAGATTTAGAGGCAGAAGAGCTGGCTGGATGGAAAGGGCGTTTCTGACACCCCCTCTAAAGAATGAGGTTAGGAGAGTGGTTCCAGGGGAGAGAGGTTTTCATGATCCTTGGCACTTTATTGCCCTTGTAAACAGATAGGGGAGCTACGATCATAGCTGAACTAGCTGGGCTGTACATTTCTTTGGGGGAGATCGTGTGTCCTGCCGTTGGTGGTACAGCCAGTACCTGGAACCAAAGGCTACTGAATAAATGGTTTGTTGTGTTGTGATGGGAATGATGTCTTCTTACCTTGCCCGAGCCTGGAAAGTGGGCCAAGTATATAAAAGCATTTCTTTCATCGCCTCAGCTCAAGAGTCAGGACATCTCAGATTTAACGGCAGGTGAAAGGGAAGACTCATCATTACTCACTCCTGCGGCCAAAAAACTGAAAATAGACACGAGAGAAAAGAAAGAGAAGAAGCAGAAGGTCGACGAGGATGAGATTCAGAAGATGCAGTAAGTTACTTCCCATCCCCCCATCGCAAGGCTCTGGCTCGGCCATGAGCCAGACATGTTTCTTGACCTTTAAGTTTTTTCTTCTTATAAACTCAAAATAAAATAAAGCAATTAATACACTGGCATATCAGAAAATATAAACAAGTAAAAAGAAAATACCACCTTGCCACCAAGATAATTACTGTTAATATTTTTTTTGTATATTCTCCAAGATATTTTCTATACATATATGTATATCTATAAATTAAAATTTTCAAAGATGTTAAATACTGTTTGTAAACCTTTTTTTACATTAAATATGGCAGATCACTGCATGTCAATGTATACCTAGGTCACAATTTTCTTCAAAATGGAAATAGCTTCACTGTGTTTTCTGCTTGTCAGAGTAGTACGGCCTGGCTGGCGTGTCTCCACGGTTGAGCATCGACCTAGGATCCAGGAGATGGCAGTTCGATTCCCGGTCAGGGCACAAGCCAGGGTTGTGGGCTCCATCCCCAGAAGGGGGCGTGCAGGAGGCAACCAATCAATGACTCTCTCATCATTGTTTCTATCTTTTTCTCTCCCTCTCCCTCTAATCAGTAGAGACATTAAAACAAAAAAGTTATCACCGGAGGTAACTTTTTTTAAAAAGTTTAAAAAAAAATAGTATGGCTTCATTGCAAGTAATTCAGAGAATACAGAAAAATTGGAAAAAATAATTACTCATAATCCCACCACTCAGAGTTTACCCAGGGAATATACCCTTTCAGGTGTGTGGGGGTTTTTAACGTTTGATATGTACTGCTAAATATTTTCATGTCAGTAAATATGCCTGTAAATCATCATTTTTAATGGCTGCATTGTATTCCAGTATGTGGATGAACCATCATTTAACCAATCCCCGCAGCTGTTCTGGTGTTTTAGATTTTTTTCTTTTGACAACATTATGATGCATATCTTGAGCACATCTTTACATACCTACCTGTCCATTTGCTTCCTAAAATAAACTAGAAGTGTGGTTGCTGGTTCAAGTAGTATGAATATTTTCAAAGGGTTTTCATACATATTTCTGAATTCCTCTCCAAAAAGGGTGTTCCACTTCACATCCTACCAGCATGTATGAGTTTCTGTCTTGCCAGTCTCCTTAGTATCACTTTTTAATACTTGTCAATATGGCTTATGAAAAATGTTATCTTGTTTATCATTTTAATTTCTTTAATAGTGAAGGTTAATTTTTTCCTCTATACTTATTGGCCATTGATGTTTTTGTAAATTTTCTGTTCGTGTCCTTTGCTTATAGAATATTAGCCCTTTTCCGTATATTTTACAAATATTTTCCTCCTTAATCTGTTAGTGTTGAAAACTACTTGTGTGAATATAATCTTGTGTATTGAATTTCTACCATAATGTGAAGTGTGGTAAGGTAGCATTATAGGGAGTGAGCCTACTGCCGAAGACACTGTGGCCCAAGGCAGTGACCCAACATTGTTGTTTCAGTTTTTGTTCTTAATAAAGAAAGGATTCAGGTTTCAGTTCGTCTCAAGTTGCTGAAGAGCAGAAATACTTGATCTTAACACTAAACCCAATACTATGGACTCCTTGAAACCTCATTTCTCATTGACACTTGATTTTATTGATGTAATAGTACATTTCGAGCATTCTTTCTCATAAGTGAACTAATTCCCCGAATCTTTGCCTAGAATCCTGGTTTCTTCTTTCTCTGAGGAGCAGCTGAACCGATACGAAATGTACCGCCGCTCGGCGTTCCCGAAGGCGGCCATTAAAAGGGTAAGGACAGACCGTCGCGCGGCGTCTTCACCGGCCGCGAGGACCCAGCTAGACTCGATTATGGCCCCTGGCGTTTGGAAATGGGTTAGGCGAGTTGGATCGTGTAGGCGGGAAAATAACAGCAGCATGTCCCTCGCTTGTCCGCTCAGTTGCGGTTTCCTTTCCCAGGGACGGGCCTCGGCAGGCAGAGCCCGGCTTCAGCGGTCTGGGCTCCAGCGTGCGCCCCGGGCAGGCGCGCTTCGGTGCGCGGCTCTCCCGGCGCTGGCTCCCAAAGCCACGCCTTGGCTACCTTAGTCAGTCTCTGTCCTTCGTTGCAGCTGATCCAGTCCATCACTGGCACCTCCGTGTCTCAGAATGTGGTCATTGCTATGTCTGGCATTTCCAAGGTGTTCGTCGGGGAAGTGGTAGAAGAAGGTGAGTGGTGCTGGTCGGAGTAACGGGTAGAACCAGGAGTGGTCTTATTTTCAAGAGCATCCGGACTGAGGGACCTAATAAAGCATCTGTAGTGGTTTCCACTTACACTAGTTGACCAAGGGGGAACCTTTGTATTCAGTGAAACATGACCATTATTTTTCAAAGTTTCCCTACTGGGAGTCAGGAAGTATCTAGGAAATGTCCCTTCCTGATTCCTGTCCTCAGCCCAGAGTAACAGAAGCAGACTGGATTTTTCTCCAGTGAACTTGGCTCATTTCTGCTGCCAAAAGATACAAGAAAAGCCATCACTGGAGCTGCCCAGTATGGCATGGTGAGGAGTTATCCCTGATGTTACAACCCCTGGAACTGCCCCGTACCCATCAAGTAAAGAACTTGGCTGCTGTTCTAACTGGTTTGGCTCGGTGGTTAGAGCATTGGCCCGCACACACTGAAAGGTCCCAGGTTTCCGGCCAAGGGCATGTACCTCAGTTGGACGCTCCGCCCCAGTCCGGGTGAGAGCGGGAGGCAACCAATTGTGTCTATCTTACATCGATGTTTCTCTCTCCACTCTCTCTGAAAAGCAATGGAAGGCCTTAGCGGGTTCGGCTCAGTGGTTAGAGCAATACCCGGGCAGACTGAAGGGTCCCAGGTTGGATTCTAGCCAAGGGCACATACCTCGGTTGCAGGCTCAATCCCCGGCCCTGGTTAGGGTGCGTGCAGAGGCAACCAATCGATATGTCGCTTACGCTGGTGTTTCCCTCTTTGTCTCTCTCTCTCCCCTCCTCTCTGTGGCCCCCATCCACTCTCTCTGAAAAATGGGAAAAATATCCTGCCCGGCTAGGTGTGGCTCAGCGGTTAGCACCGACCTAGGATCCAGGAGATTTCGGTTCAATTCTTGGTCAGGGCACATGCCCAGGCTGCGGGCTTGATCCCCAGTGGGGGAGGGGGGTGGTGCAGGAGGCAGCCAATCAATGACTCTCATCATTGATGTTTCTATCTTTCTCTCTCTCCCTCTCCCTTCCTCTGTCTGAAATTGATATATTTAAAAATATACATATATCCTTGGGTGAGGATTACAAAAATAACTTGGCTCCACCCACATCTCTAGGTGACATGTTTTATTTTTTTTAAGCAGAAGATAATGTTTTTAACTGTTTCCTATGATAAAGCCTGAGATGGGATATTATACTAAAACTAACATGGTACATTTTCTCACCCGAGAATATTTTTTCCATTGATTTTTAGAGTTGGAAGAAAGGGAGGGAGGGGGAAAGAGAGAAACATCCATGTAAGAGAGACACATTGATTGGTTGCCTCCTGCACACATCCTGAGCCAGGCCAGGGCTTGAACCTGCAACCCCGACACATGCCCATGGCTGAGAAGTGAACCCAAGACCGGTCCTTCAGTGCCCAGGCCGATGCTCTAACCACTGGGCTACGCTGGCCAGGGCAAACATGGTTCATTTTATAGCATTCTCTTAAGAGAAAATGTCTTGGTTTATTTCCACAGCTAGCTTTAGAGGAGTTAATGACAATTGGACTGTGAATAAGCTCTGGTGGGCTCATGAAACTTTCTCCTTACCCTGTTTAGCACTGGATGTGTGTGAGAAGTGGGGAGAAATGCCACCACTGCAACCCAAACATATGAGGGAGGCTGTTCGGAGGTTAAAGTCGAAGGGGCAAATACCCAACTCGAAGCACAAAAAAATCATCTTCTTCTAAGACCAAAGCCTAGAAAGGCCTGGTGCTGGAGGACATCTGGTTCGACTTCAGATTGCAGACTGTGCACTGGTGCTTTAGTATCTGCCCAAGATTTTAATGTCTTTCTCAAAACTGATGTTCATCACAGCCAGAAGGCACAGCCAGAAGGCATGCAGTTCATACAGGCCTTGACTAACCATTGGCACCTGAGGGCATTCTGAGGCCTTCCACTGTCTTGGCTAGTTGGAGGAAAAGCACTGGGCCTTAAGCGTCTTCTGGATGGCAGAGCGGCTTTCAAAGAAAACCTTTCCAGGAGAACCTTGATGGTTTCACATTGAAGCCTGAAGTTGCTATGTCTTAGGTTGTTTCTTACACCTGGTTTTAAGTGGATGAAACAACAAGAAACTTTTGACTTGTGAGACACTAACATGAAGGACATGCTACAGGAGTAGTGGAATAGTTTGTCCCGTTAACATTTAAGATTCTCCTATGGATTTTGGTGAGTGGTCATTAAACTGTTTTCCAACTTGTCATATGTGTGTTCATTTTCTAACTGGTTGGAATGGGGGGAATTCATCATTCTTTTTTTGGTATCAGTAAAACTGGTCTTGGGTTTTTTGTGAAAATCTGAGCCCTTCTTTCTACTACAGCTATTAAAATTTAACCTCATTAAAGAGTATTTAAAGCACTTAAAAACAATGTAAAAGCCCATATATTTCAGATTTCTTATAGATATACCACAACCAGTTCTGTTTAACAAGTTTAATTTGCTTTTTTCAGGTGGTTCACAGAACCAGTACACTCAAGGTTTGGTTAGATATTGCAACATTAAAATTTCCCAATACTGACCAGTATTCCAGTTTGTCAGATACATTCTCATTGTTTTCCTCAAATAGAGGGGAATGGAGTGACCTTTAATTGACAGTGATTAGCAGTAATAAGGCTACAGGATTAGTTGGCAGTCCCCAAGAATTCTTTTCCTCTCAGTGTCACAGGGAAGAGGGCTGTGAAGCTGTTCTCTTTTGAAGCTTTCCTGAGCATGTCTTAGTAAAGATTCCAATTCTGTTTAGCACCCTGAGTGGGGGAAAGAGCGTGAACTCACAAAGTTGGGCAGATCTGAGTTAGTATATTACTAACGTCATGGCTTTAAACTTGTCCTTAGCCAATGGAGAAGACACTTCAGTGGGCATTCCACAAAGAAAGCTAGTAAGACTTAGGCTACATCCTGACCAAAAATTAATGAACTAAGGGGGGGGGGGG